CCTCGATGAAATTTTACATGATAACATTTAAAATACGGGAAAATATATTCTTATCCGGGAGTTGTAATTGTCTAATAAAGGATTTTAATAACCTTTTAGGCAAAGAAAAAAACTCCCTTTTGCCTACAATACTTCAGGGCATTATTATTATGAAAACTTTCTTAAAAATCAAATTAAAAAATTTTAAGAAAGGAGACATGATCAAAAAAATTCTAATTCCCTTTGAAAAACCATAAAATATTTTTAAAGTATCCCTTTGTCACGGGGGTTTTCACTGGGGTTATGATTTTGCAAAATTTTTGGGGGAGAAAAAAAACATAAAAAATGTCAGGCGGGTCAAAATAAAAATTACTGAAAAATTAAAGCAGTCCCCTTCTATAATCGACATATGAAATGAAATTTATTACATGTTTTCCCATGTTTTTGAAAATTTAATTTTAAAAGTTATAAATAAATTAGCATATGATTTTTGGGTTTACGGGAAGGGGTCAAACTATAAAAAATTAAATTCTAAAATATGAAAAAAACAAAAAATCAAGTTCTGTTTGTTTGGTTTGAATATAAAATTTTTAAAATTTCAACGCAGAATAAACTTTTTTGTAAATTTTTGGGTTACCAAATTTTTTAAACGGGTACCTTCACTTATTTGAAATAATTGTATCATAAATAGGGCCGTTGAATTTCCCCACTCCTAAAAATTTTTTTTTGGGCCCCATAAAAATGGTTTTTTGAAAATTTATATATTAACAAGCTGCTAGGCGGGGGTTTTAATTGCAAACACCCTTTATATACACCATAAAAATTGTAAAAATCTTTATAAAAATTTATAATACAGAAAAATTTTCCCTTTTTGAGGAAAAAAATTTTTAAATTTTTTTCATAAATTGACGGCAGCCGAGTATATAAAACTGTATAAATGTCATTATTATCCAATGAAAAGTGACGTTACAAACACACAGTATTATATAGATATGTTTCTCATTTCTTTAAACTATCAGTGTTTATAGCATCACATAGCTGATATCATTTTGAAAGCAGAATAAGAACTCAGAAAAAAAATTTTCTATGAATGACCTATGGATGTTTTAATCTCGCACAGGAAGACTTAAATGTGATTTACTATGTAAGTCTATTTAAGTTCGGTGTCCCAATATTGAAACTAAGAGACAAATATTATTTTTCCTGCTGTATGACAACACGTATATGGTGATGTTTGGTCTGGCACACTGTGAATTGTTAAAAACAATAACAGATTACAACCACTCTATCTAGCTACTCCTCCACGTCCTGCATCACGTCTCATCTGGCTCATTTATAAGGGAGGTAAATCTTCTTCACGCATTAAATGTCCTGGAATAGATTCAATAATAATAACATGACACTTTCCTGACGTTATTAGTATGAAATGTTACATACAGAGTAGAATCAAGATACTATAAGTCTGTGTAAATATACATGTAAAACATGGCATGTAACACTGGATAAATACTATTATTCTGAGTATATATAGCCAGTGTTCTAGTATTACTACATAAATATTCCATCCTCAAGATTTTGACAGGAAATTAGGCACATATAAACATTTAAATCTATCTGAAGTTGGTCAATCTATTCTAACAGGTGCTAATTGAAGCACTGTCATAGATTACCTCCATAGTGCATACGACCCTCATGCTAATCCTGATTATACCTTTGGATAGCATTTATACAAGAATAAAAATAAGGCAAGATGCACTTTAATATGCATTTGATATAGATATTATAGAAACAGCGGTTTTTTCTCTACTTTGGGAATGGTGCAGGTACTAGACTGATTGTGGAAAAATGCGTTATTTTTACTTAAATTTGGAATTTTTATTATGCATTTATTTAGCTACAAATAACATTAGTCATCATGCAATAAAGACAGCTTACAGCTTCTATTGTCAAGTTAGAACTATTTGAGTGGTGATTTATATCAATATGTTGGATTTAAATGATTTCAGAGAAAAAAATCTCTTGGCCTTGTGGTGAATTTTTGCACAGCCATTTTGGAGTTTAAACATTGGAAATCGGAATTTTAATGTCTTTTTCTATTGGGTGCCTTTACAGTGCCTTTTTAGGGTAGTAGTTATAATAAAGAACTAGAAATGTGTTGTCACAGAAATTGAAAATTTCATATTAGTTTCAAAGTGAAAGGGGCATAACTATGCCAAAATCATCAACCATAACCAAACACGAACTTGACCTGCCCATTCCTTTGAAGTATCTATATGAGTTGAATGTGTACAACTGTTGGGTAGATAATGAACAGAAACTGAAAATTTCATCAAGGGGCATAACTGTCAAAAATCATCAGACCATGACCAAATTAAAACTTGACCTGTATTTTCTCATATTATATCCATATGTAAAATTTGAGTTGAATATGTGCAACCGTTACTAAGATAATGAACGGAAACTGATCATAACAGAATGACGGAACAGGGTAACACTATATACCCCAGCCATTTTATGGCAGGGGCATAAAAATTAACCGAGAAGTGTGGCTAAATTGATAAGATTGGATCCAATAAAGATTTCATTTAGAACATCACATGGTTTTAACACTTAAGTTTCTTTGACTATAATTAATATAAATTGTGAAATAATAAAAAGATACAAACTTTGTTGTGGTATTCTAACTTTCTCCATGTCATCTACAGTTGTATGATGAATGGTCTTCCTAAACTTATATTTTATATACAACTTCTTCTCTTCTCCTATACATGGGTCATAGAATCCTGGGATATCACTCTAAAAATAGTAACAGTATAGCATAATTAAAACATAAATACCACACTTAATAATAGAACAGCAACAATATAAAATTCATAATACAAAGATACCATAAATAGAAACAATATACATGTAGCATATATTAAATATAGAAACCTAAGTTATCATTCTATAAATTAAATAGCAACATTTGCAATTATGTAGCATTTATTACTTGCTTTTCAGTGGACAGTGAAATCATATTTTGATAATTCCACAGTGAAATTATAAAATATAATTTTCACAGTAGCCAGACTATATCCAAATGTATGTCAATAGTATATATCTTAAGTAATTGGGAATATCTTGGAAATACACTTGGTCATTAGTAAAATATGCTTTATTACAAGAAGTACATTGATATCTGCACATATCATACAGCTCTCAATCAGACTTTATGCTTATATGAAACTGCAAACACCCACTTTGGAAAAAATTAACTCCAACTTTTATTTTACAATATATTTTTAATATATACATGCATATAGCTGAAAAAGGCCCAGTTTTCAAGAATAGAATACCTGATGATGGCATGCCTGTTTAAACACTTATTACACAAATGAGCGGGGTCATGACAAAACCAACATAATGGGTTTGCGACCAGCATGGATCCAGACCAGCCTGCGCATCCGCGCAGTCTGATCAGGCTATCAGTTTCTCTACTTGTAATACGGTTTGTAAGCGAACAGCATGGATCCTGATCAGACTGTGTGGATGTGCAGGCTGGTCTGGATCCATGCTGGTCGCAAACGCACTATGTTGGTTTTGTCATGACGCGGCTCATATGGTTTTTGTATGTTACCTTAGATGTTTTTTCAGGAGTTATCAGGTTTGAATCTTTGACTAGAGCTTGTAATGGTACAGTCACATCTATACAATCTTCTGTTTGTAGGTCTCTGTAATGTACAAACAATCAGTACATACATAATAAATACTGTGCACAAAAGTAAATATATAACAGAAGAAGTATATAACAGGAGAAGTATATAACAAGAAACATATAACTGAAAGTATATTACAAGAGAGGCATAAAATCAGAGAGGTATAGAACAGGGGAGGAATAATATAACAGATAACAGGTGAGGTATATAAAAGGAGAGGTATAGAACATAAGACATATAACAGGAGAGGCATATAAAAGGAGAGGAATATAACAAAAGAGGTATATAACAGGAGAGGCATATAACAGTAGAGGTATATAACAGGAAGGTATATAACAGTAGAGAGGTATATAACAGTAGAGGCATATAACAGAAAAGGTGTACATAAGGAAAGGCATATAACAGAAGAGGTTTATAACATATAACAAAGATATATAGCAGTAGAGACATAAAACAGAAAAAGTATATAACAGTAGAGGCATATAATAGGAGATGTACATAACAGAAAAGGTATAAAACACGAGGTATAAAATGGATCTTACTCATCAGTTGAGGAAGAGAGTTTTCCATATATGGCTGTTATTATAATTAGACCATTCCTTCTCTCTTCAACTTCTATATTCCTATCAACAGATTCTTTCATAAGCTCTATCTGTAAATGCAATTAAATTTCCGTGTCATACAGTCAAACTTCAGTAAAACACAGTCAAATTTTTATAAAATACATTCAAATTTCAGTTCAGTGCAGTCAAAAGTCGGTCAAATTTCAGTACAATATATTTTCACTTCAGTAAAATAAGTCAAACTTCAGGAAATACTGTATAAAACTTCTATAAAATCAGTCAAACTTTAGTAAAATAAGTCAAACTTAAGTAAAATAAGTCAAACTTAAGTAAAATAAGTCAAACTTCTGTAGAATACACTTTTAACTTCAGAATAATACAGTTCAAAACTTCAGTAAAATATAATCAAATTTCAGTAAAATGAGAGTCAAACATTAGTTAAACACAGTCAAATTCTAGATATATACAGTCAAACTTTTTAAATATAGTTCAAATTCAGTAAGATACAAACTTTTCTAAAATACAACTTAATTTGTTTAACATACAGTCAACTTTCTGGAAATACATTTAAAACTTCAGTAAAACACACATTACTGTACAATACAGCTGAACTTCTGTACAATACAGTTGACTTTTACTTAATACAGTCCTCCATATGTAAAGTGTATTCAAATTATGCCAATAGTTATAGTTAGTTCAAAAAGATTTTAAACTTAATTACACTTTATCCCAAAACCGTGTCGCTTTTGAAACTCTGAAAAAAATGGTATTGCACAGCTGTGCATATATTTTGATGTGACGTTATTTGCATTATATAATCAGTTCAATAAAAACAAATGCTTTTCTTAAGCTTTCGACGTTTAGTCTTCTTCAGAAAAATTGACGTTTATAAAATAACAAATGACAAATGACGCAACGTCCGTTTAACTATACGCTAAACAGAACGTGACGTTAACGCGGGAATAAAAAACTTTGTCAAATAAATACAGAATCTTTCATGAATATAAATACAGCAATATACAATAAATTACACATATAATATAATATGGATCTGCACATGTGATACAAAAATTCTCATAATTAATAATAATAAAAAACCTTGATATGAGAAAAAACATACTACATGTATATGTATATCATATGTATACCGGCTCAATAATGACAAAGTTATATATTGTACAAAACTTTTGCATTCATACCATTAGGAGATAATGTGTTAAGCTTATGAATCCAGTATGATTCTTGTAATAAGCGTTCCATATCATCGGAGACAATCTCTATGGGCATAAATTTAAAATCCTTAATACAATGATTAGTTTTATTGAAGTGTGTAGCGACATTGGTTGAAAATAACGGATCGGAAAAATTGTTGATATCAAATCTATGGCTATTCATGCGTTTAGACACTTGTTGCTTCGTTTGACCAACATATTGCTCTTTACATTTATCACAAGTGACAAGATATATAACATTTTTCGTAGAACAATCAGTATTGTTATTTACATGATAATTCTTACCAGGAATATTAGTACTACAAAATATATTGCTTTCAATAATGGAGCTGCAATGTGTACATCTACTTCTATTACATTTGGATGAACATTTCACATTTTTGTTATTAGACCTAACATTAGAATTAACGAGAATGTCTTTTAGATTTTTAGGTCTTTTAAATGCAACCAAAGGTTTACTTTCATGAAGCTTTTGCACAGAACATTTACTTGAAAGTTTAAGTAAATCCCAATACTTTTTAATGATATTACTAATATTAGGTAAGGTTGGGTTATATTCAACAACAAAGGGAATAACACTACCATCACTTGTTTTGTTGTTAGTGCACAGGGCCTCATCTTGTGTTAGACATGAAACCTTACTAAGTGCATTATCAATAACATTGATAGGATAATTTCTTTCTTTGAAGTATGTTCGTAAATTCTGTAAAGAATCGTTGAAAACACCATCGTCAGAAATGATACGGCGATAACGTTTTCCTTGACTGTACGGAATACCATTTTTACAAGATACTGGGTGACAGGAAGAGTATTCTAAATACTGATGATTATCTGTCTCTTTAACATGTATATCAGTATGTATAATATTGTTTTCGTCTAATGAAATCATATAAGTATCATGTAAATAACAATACTGAAATGTTATTTGCATTAGGCAGACATAGTGTAAAGACGCGCTAATGTTAGCCTTACACTATTGGCACATCAATGAAAAAAAATTTTTTTTCACTTTAAACAGTCTTTATCACGAGTATGTGATAAATAGAATATTATATTCTTGTAGGTTCATTACTGAATTTATTGAACTTGTTGAATAAAATAAGATAATTTATTTATTCAATTCATTCAATAAATTCAGTAATGAACCTACACTCATTCAATATCGTCTATTTCATTTTATTGTTTTATATACTAATATTTACCAAAGCTTGTGCTTCTCGCTTTCTCTGTTGTATTTTCTCTTTCTGTTCCTGCTTTTTTCTCACCAACTCTCTGAAAGATCATGAATGATTCATTATCAACCATATTGTTCTGAAAATTTCCATTTCAATATAAACATCATTTGTTTGTTTAATTGCTTATTTGTTACTAGGAGTTAGGTGAAAATGACACAGTCAATTTCATAAACAGACCTGACTTTCCAGCTTAAATGGCACAGGATGGCCCTAGATTTTGGCTTCCTTTTCAGCAAAATCAGTTACATTGGTAGAACTACCAACCCTCTGAAAGCTAATTGCCTAAATATCCCCATGTAAAAATATTACTATCAGGATTTGTACTAGAAATATTGACAAGTATAAATAGTGAATCCAGATCAGCAAAATACTAGTGGGCATAACCTTACTTCCACTTTTGTTTATCAAAAATTTGTTTTAACATTATTGAGAGTGTCCATGTTGCACTGACACCTGTTGCACTGAAGGTTATTTATGTTGATACATAAATTTGACAACAGTTACAGTACCTTCAAAATGTGCCATTATCAAAACAGTAGGAACTTTATCACCTTGCATCACACATAACAAAGCCGGTTGAACTGGGTAATGCTCCCTAAATAGGTTTTGGACACAGAGAAGTAATTTGTCCATACAGTGCGTATGTCCAACGAAAAAAGAGCAATAACTCCAAAATTACGCAAAGCAGAGTTACTGTTCCAATGCATTTCACGTCTGCTTATTGAGATCCATCTATCTACAAAGTTTCTTGTTGATATCTCTGGTAGTTTCAGAGTTATGTACTGGATGGATGCAGACGGATGGACAGACAGAAAAAGCAGCAACTATATGCATAAAAATTAATGAATACCACTACATCCATTCATTGTCCCAAAATAAATGTGTTATTCTGTAATTATCTAATTATAAAGTATATATAAAACTTACTTTTCTTTTTGTCCGGACAGGAAAGGATCAACAATTAATTTCTTCACAGCAAAGTAAGTAACTATAGGAATGATTGTACCATACAATATAGAGCTTGGTATCACCTCATCTGATAACTTTATAGGCATCAACATAGTATGACTACCTCTATCTAACCTGAAACAATATATATACACGCTGAATATAACATAAAATGACTGATTTACACTTCACAGATTCTGTCTTTTGAATTTCCTAAATCGATTTAAAAACATTACACACATTTCCCATAGGGAAAGGGTTGGGATATTGGTTTTAAGGCAATGACCTTAACCACTCAGCCAGCCATACTTCTTTCTGGCATTTACAATGAATTGTGGTGGCATAGTGGTAAATGTTTGTAAAGTTAGGATTATTTTTAACCTTATGAGCAGAATGAACATATAAACTGAATTCCACACTAACTTTTTTTAATTAATTTTTGGGGAAAAAGTAGAGCAAGTGCAAAATCATTTAAACTGATGAGACCAAAAGCAAAAACTGTTTTACAGAAAGTCCTAAATTTCAATTTAAACCTTTATGAACTAAGGGAAGATGCAATGTACAATAAGCAATTAATTTTTCTATACACTATATTTATTTATTTATTTTATTTATATATATATTTTTTTATTTTATTATTATTATTATTAGGTGTTAGGGGGGGGGGGGGTGTTAGGTTTTAAGTCATACTGACTGACACTTTAAAGGTCACATGACTATTTTCCAGATTCACTTGTGCAGTGTTTTTTTTTCTTTATATAACTACTACCCTAAAACGGTACTGTTCCCAATAGAAAAATTCCCAATTTCCAATGTTAAAATTCCCAAAATGGCTGTTCAAAATAACCACAAGGCCAAGTGATTTCTCTGAAATCATTTAAATCCAACATATTCATATAAATCACCACTCAATAGTTCTCCCTGGACAGTGGAAGCTGTTAGCTATCTATATTCATGATGACTATTCTTATTTATAGCTGAAAAAAAATGCTTAAAAAATTCCCAATTTAAGTCAAAAAAACGCATTTTTTCCCCAATCAGTCTGGTACCGGCACCATTCCCAAAGTAGAGAAAAACTAGAAATGTGTCCATAGGACATGGATGCCCCCACACTCCACTGTTCTGTCAATCTTATGACTCTAGGTCAAATATTTTTTGGACAAAAAATCAACAAAGGGCCATAATTCTATTAAATTTGGTCGCAGCAAAAAATCTTTCCTTTACTAACATCTACACATTAAGGTTGTAAATCCCTGGAAGTTTAAGCAAAATCTGCCATCCGGTTTAAGAGGAGTTACGTTCACAAAATTTCTACAAAGTATATAATGAAAAAATCAACAAAGGGCCATAATTCTATTAAATTTGGTTGCAGCAAAAATTCCTTCCTTTACTGCCATCTACACATTAAGGTTGTTCATCCCTGGAAGTTTAAGCAAAATCTGCCATCCGGTTTAAGAAGAGTTGCATTCACAAATACGAGGGTTGATCAATATATTCATGGACGCTACTAATAACTTTATAATTAATCAAGATATTATAAAGAATTTTCGCTATTTAGGAGAAGAATTTAATACTATTACAAATATATTGTGATTTTCAAAACAAATCTCATTTTGTTGATTTTATGTATCACCATAGCAACCCTATGCCATACGAACGCCGCAGCTTAAAAAAAAGTTATATTTACCATTTTAAAATACTTAAAAATTGTCCTTATTTTGGCGCGCTTCATTAAAATATGAATATGACAGCAACGTTCTTTCATATCGTTTATAGAAAATTTAAAAAAAAAAAGCGTCGCTACGATTTCTTTTTTTCGTTGGAGATATTAATGGAGACAGGGGTGTGTCACTAGAGAGCACGATGTTGTTGGAGCAGAGGGCAGTAATTAAGTCTGTGTAAATCTTGGTATGACACAACAGCAGACTAAAGAAAACATGAAAATTGTATCTGGAACAAAAAAGTGTCTTATTCGTTAGTTTCTAAGTGGCATAAACGCTTCCGTGAGGGTAGAGAAAAACTTCAGGATGATAAAAGTCAGGATGATAATAGATGCGGCAGACCAATTGAAACTTGTTGCAATGAGAACGTTATGTGAGTGAAATTAAAGGCATAGTTAAAGGGACACAAGTATACCGGGTTTCATGATTTACAGTCCATGGCATTGTCTGTGTTGCGTTCATTTGATACTTCATTTAATAAGAACATTTGCAGTCAGCGGGTACACAGGCATGAACTATTTGTAGAAGTTGGTGCTTCATTTTTTGAGAAGATGTAACGCCGACGTAACGTAAGTTCCGCATAAGCTGCGGCGATCAGCTTTACATGTGTTTTTGAAAACTCTCATTTCGGATAAAATATACGGATTATTTATCTGAAACTTACACATCAAATTGATAAATGATTGAATAAATGTCAAATATAATTATATTAACTTTCCTTCCCCAAAAAAACAATTTATGGAGTGTGTCCACGAATATATTGATCAACCCTCGTATATAGTGAAAAAATCATCAATGGGCCATAATATTGTAAAATTTGGTCGCAGCGAAATTTCCTTCCTTTACTACCATCTACACATTAAGGTTGTTCATCCCTGTAAGTTTAAGCAAAATCTGCCATCCGGTTTAAGAGGAGTTGCTTTCACAAAATTTCTACATAGTATATAGTGAAAAAATCAACAAAGGGCCATAATTCTGTTAAATTTGGTCGCAGCAAAAATTCCTTCCTTTACTACCATCTACACATTAAGGTTGTTCATCCCTGTAAGTTTAAGCAAAATCTGCCAACCGGTTTAAGAGGAGTTGCGTTCACAAAATTTCTACATAGTATCTAGTGAAAAAATCAACAAAGGGCCATAATTCTGCTAAATTTGGTCGCAGCAAAAATTCCTTCCTTTACTATCATCTGCACGTTAAGGTTGTTCATCCCTGTAAGTTTAAGCAAAATCTGCCATGCGATTTAAGAGGAGTTGCGTTCACAAGATTTCGGGACGTACGGACGGACGGACTGACTGACTGACGGATTGACGGACGGATGGACAAGTGCAACGCTATATGCTCCCACATTGTGGGGGCATAAAAACAGTGTTGTGGTAGAGAAGAACCTTAAGAGCCCTTCTGTGATTCACTTACTTGATAATGCTCCCATTTATGCTGCAATAATGTTTGGGCCAAACACTGTTTTATACCTTGTACAAATATATACGCATCTTTAATGTAAGTTTATCTATGCATTTTTATATTATCAAACTAAACTTACTTAAGAGCAATTGTAACTCCAGTGGGATATCCAACAGACATTGTTGCTCCTAGATTACTAAATGCTGTCACTTTTTTCTCTATCCCATACTCTATTACTGCACCAAATGTCCCTGCTCTTAAACATATCAAGAACAACATTGAAAATGTAGCAAAACTTAAAACAATTATATGAATTTTTACATCTAAGAAAAAAAGACAAGAATAAAGATCAACAAGGCAAAAGCAACGTTAACAGGAAAATCATATGAAGCTTTGACGAACACTGAATTCAAGTTTACAGAATGAAATTATTGTATACATCAAATACAAATCACATAACATCAGCACATGAGCACTGCTCATTTATACATATTTCAAATTTGCTATAAAATATAAAAATATGATGGAGCAAGCAGCAAACTGACCAATTTTCAGCGTTTGTTGAAGACTAATTCAAACACTATTGACATTCAAACAAGAGCACCCAATGTGGTATTAACACTGGCCTGTTAAAAATTCCAAGTTGAAAAAGGTCATAACTTTATTAATGCCTTAAAAATTATGCCCCTTGTCTAAAAAAAGTACCTAGCCATGATTAAGTTAGTGTTCCAAGTTTCATGTTGATAGGTTTTCAAATTTTTGAATAATGTACTACATTAAAGTTTTTGCAAAAAGGCAACTCTGCCGCCTCCGCAGCTATCATTATAGCTTAACTTTGCCTTCAAAACAGATGAGCTAAAAACATTCTTGTATTCCCTTAAATTGATTGCATAATTTCAAAAATAAGCAATTATCCAGATTCAAGATGCACCATCTATCTATCTGTAAGCTATCTATTTGAACAGCAGACATCATGGTCCACAAGTGCGCTGTCAAAATAGGATTTTTGCATTTATCATTTTTATTACTAGTAATCATTAGGTAATATTATACTTACTTTAAGCTTACTGTTGTTGAAACATCATGTTCTTTAAACTTTTTGGTGTATGATGTATATATATAACTGTACTGAATACCTAACTGGAAAATATAAAATCCAATACATTTTTACACTTTTAAATTACTAAAGCCATTACACTATAGTGTTAAAACATATCAAGATAAATCAAAACTCAAAATAACTGTCAAATATTACCATTATTCAGCATACACTGTGCCATTCATTAACTAAAGGTAAGTCCTTAACAGTAGCATTGACCTAAAGATAAGCCCTTAACTGTGGCAGCAACACAAAGGTAAGTCCAAAACTGTAGCATTAACATAACCATGGCATTAACAATACATGTGTAAGGGTGTCATTTATATACAAATTCAGATTATTAAAAACAGTGTTTCAGTCAGCTGAAGTATACTCTGCACATTGGATAAACATTTCACCCAGGTATTAGCCTAATACAGTTAAAATAAATATACAGGGAACAGAAAATTGCTGGTTCAGACCTTTAACCTTGAACTGTCACTTTTAATGTAAAGATACACATCCGAAATATGGGTTCTTCATGAGATGTCCTATAAAATTCTACCCAAGTAAAATAAATATTCTTCAGTCTTAAATGAATAGTGCAGACCATACTCTTGCTTGCAGACAGAATGATAGTAAGACCACTGGGGGTATGGCATAACACATTTGAGGTAAGAAAAAAAACAAGAGGGCCATGATGGCCCTGAGGTCGCTCACCTGTATATAGGCCCCCAGAGCGGGGCCAGTTTAAACCCTAGGGCTTTTATTTGAGCAAACTTGTTAAGACACCCATTAGAAGATGTTTCATGATGTTAAGTTTTTACTACACACATACATGTATAATAATAAACAATGACCTCCGCCCCGCCCGCCCTCTCCCCCCCCCCCCCCCCCGCCTTTGGCAGGGCCAATTTAAACCCAAGGGCTTTTATTTGGACAAACTTGGTAGACACCAACAAAAAGATGTTTCCTGCTTAAAATCTAACCTCTAGCTCATCAGGTTTTTTAAAAAGAAGATTTTTTAAGTTTTTACTATACACATATAGTTAAAAACAATGACACCTCTGGGGCGGGGCCAGTTTTAACCCCAGGGCTTTTATTTGAACAAACTTTGTAGACACTTACTAGAAGATGTTTCATTCTTAATATCTAAACTCTAGCTATTTGGGTTTTTTCAAAGAAGATTTTTAAGTTTTTGCCATACACATATAAGGAAAATCAATGACCCCCGGGGCGGGGCCAATTTTGACCCCGCGGCTTTTATTTGAACAAACTTTGTAGACACCAATTAGAACATGTTTCATGCTAAATATCTTAGCTCTAGCTCTTTGGGTTCTTTAAAAGAAGATTTTTTAAGTTTTTACTATATGCATATAAGGAAAATCAATGACCCCCTGGGGCGGGGCCAATTTTGACCCCAGGGCTTTTATTTGAACAAACTTGGTAGACACCCATTAGAAGATGTTTCATGCTAAATATCTTAGCTCTAGCTCTATGGGTTCTTTAAAAGAAGATTTTTTAAGTTTTTACTATATGCATATAGGGAAAATCAATGACCCCCTGGGGCGGGGCCAATTTTGACCCCAGGGCTTTTATTTGAACAAACTTGGTAGACACTCACTAGAAGATGTTTCATGCCAATATCTAAGCTCTAGCTCTTTGGGTTTTTTAAAAGAAGATATTTAAAGTTTTTTCTTTTGGTTGCCATGGCAACCAGAGTTCTGCATGGAAATTCTTTGAACAATTTTTAAAGGTGACCACCAAAGGAACATTCCTGTGAAGTTTGGATGAAATTGGCTTTGTGGTTTATGAGGAGATGTCATTTAAAGTAAAAGTTTACGGACGGACGACGAACGGACGCCGGACGAAAAGCGATCACAAAAGCTCACCCTGTCACTTTGTGACAGGTGAGCTAAAAAAAAAACATGTACCGGTAATATTCATAAAAGAGGAGTACTGAAATTTCAGTGCATTTTTTTGTGTGCAAAAAGTAGAGTTGACCATCTTTGATTTACAGTTCACATGTTTCTATAACCTTCTTCTTATTCTCTGCATTAAAAAGTATGCAAGCTGAATTTGAACTTTAACCTGCTGAGTTAATGTAATGGTTTTGAAATTTGTCCATTAAATGTTTAAGGGATTTCAATATATCAAAATACAATAATAACTGTTCATGAATTACCATCTGACACATAACTAACAAGCAAACAATCCAACTTTATCAGAAGCAACATTTTTTTAAAGGTTCTTGTAGGTCTACACCCCGCATAGTATTTCGGATTTTGTCATGACATTTCAAATATGATTTTTTTTTTCTTCAATGCACACTTACATTAACTTCAAAGAGCACCTGTTGGGTTTCAGAGTGGTAAACTAATAATGTTTTAAGGTTTGACGGTGCTAAAATATTCCATCGTATCCTTCCTTGCCAATATCTGTCAAAAGTGTAACTCAAACCTGAAATAATGTAATAACATTTACATGTACAATATAATGCCTGTGTGTTTTTAACAAGAGCTGTCGGTAGGACAGCAACGCTCGACTATTCTTAGTGCTTGATAGTAAAAAAAATGCTTGATACGGTTACCTTCTCCTGTTTACAGGTTGGGGTCATGATGGTGAACAAGTGTGCAAAGTTTCAAAGCCATATGTCAATGGACTTTGAAAATATTTGAACTATTACAAAAACTTTAACGTAAATTCTAAGTTGAAAAAGGGCATAATTCTGTCAAAATGCTTGATAGAGTTACCTCCTCCTGTTTACAGGTTGGGGTCATGATGTTGAACAAGTGTGCAAAGTTTCAAAGCCATATGTCAATGGACTTTGAAAATATTTGAACTATTACAAAAACTTTAACGTAAATTCTAAGTCGAAAAAGGGGCATAATTCTGTCAAAATGCTTGATAGAGTTACCTCCTCCTGTCTACAGGTTGGGGTCATGATGGTGAACAAGTGTGGAAAGTTTCAAAGCCATATATTTTTGGACTTTCAAAATATTTGAACTTTTACAAAAACTTTAACATAAGTGGTTACGCCGACGCCGACGCCGACGCTCGGGTGACTGCAATAGCTCTACTTATTCTTATCGAATAGTCGAGCTAAAAATGGCAAGGTTTACAATATTTCGCTATCACTCATTTTGACAATTAAAATGGTTATTTTTGTTTCTAAAATGTGAACATTCTCAAAGGAAAGCATAAATGAAGAGTCAAATAAGTTACAGACAAGAAAATCTCTAGATAATATCTTTAATTAAAGACTTTCAAGACATGACATCTTGATCACAATGCACAAGGTTGGAACTTAAATAGTTTGATCAACAAGCTGGAACTATTTAGACATAGGTGACTGACATGTGATCAACACAGTGACATATTTCTACATCATCATCATTAACAATGGACGATATTAAAAATCATAATACAGAAAAAAATTGATTTTCTTAGTTACATTTTTTTAAACAAGGAAAAATATATAGAAATGATTTATCTATTTTACTGTAAACCGCATATTAATCAAGTTTTACCAAAATGTGAAAAACATGTATATTACTGTAAGGTCATCTTAAAATTGGGAACAAATTGAAAACTATACATACCAGTGTTGACAGATGGTTTTATACCCCTTTCTGATACTTTCAAATTTGTGTTGAAGTTAAATATTCTGCAAACAAATTATAACAAAGGTAAATTAAAACAACACAAATCTTGCTTCTACAATGTCATAGTTATACATACTATCTAACATGAAAAGGACAGACTTCTGGGTTGTATTTTTTTCTGACTGACCCTTGCCCTTAACCCTTAATTTAATTTGGG